TGTTTGTCAATAAAACTTTGAGAAAAAAAAAAAAGAAGAAGAAATACAAATAGAAAGGTATAATACATGTAAAAGGAAAGCAAGAACTCGAGGATTAACTAAGTAAGACAGGGAAAGGAGAAGAGCTAGGAAACATGACTGTGGCAAGCCATATAGTGATATGTAGAAGATGGGCAAGGCAATGATCCTGAGAATCTTCAGAAGATTTTTTAATCTAGCAGTTAATTGGAAGGATTCTCACCCCGATTAACTATATATACTGACACTTGTGAACTAAGCAAATGTACTGAAAATGGCAATTTGTAATGGTAGGTGCATGCTTATAGTGCTTGTCATTCTGGTCTTCTGAATACCAGCTGCATGTCATGACATGCCAATTGCTGCTGTGCTGTCTCTCAGGTAGATGATTGTTCAAAAAGAGGGGTTGGTGAATGAAAGTAGGAGACATGAAAAGGAATGTTGCGGGACTGTTCTGCTACAAGGTTTTATATGGTTAGATTTTTGGACTTATGTGTAAACATAAGAATTATGTAATTCTTTATGCCTATTTTTAAAATATATTTTAATTTTTTAAATGTTTTTTCATCATATTCTGTAGGCATTTAAAGTTCAACATATCAATGTTTGATGAAAAATATCTGTTCCATGTTATGCCTAAAATGTTTGATATTTGGACAGATAGTGCGGTTAAGCTTAACATCCCAGGTTGTACGGTAATAACAATAAGCTTCTCTTCCGGAGGGTTAACAACCTAAGTTTTCAGACCAAAAATTAGAGAAAGAGGAGAGCCTCTAGGCAAGCCAATATTTTGGCCCTAGCCTTCCAAGGTCAATTAAAACTCAGGACATATGTGAACTTGTACTGTAACCACATGTATCTCAGTTGTGTCCCAAAGTTTCTGATCAAGGAAATTATGGGTCCAAAGCAGAAAGTGATCGATGATGTAGAGTATGCCTAAGGAGAGTCACATGGAGAGAAAACATTCTCTCAGCCTTTCACATCTAGCAAATTGGCCAAGCAGTGGCCATGCCTCATCCACATGGCTCACTCTGACAAAGGATCTACAATGTGAGGTACAGGATCTCAGGATTAATCCTGAGGGGATATGCCTGACCTTATCAGACACAAAAGCTACAACTCTTGTTGCATAGGTTTTGCTTTATCTTGGTCTTAACCATCCAATAGAAAAGTATAAAACAAAGTATAAGAAGAAAAGCCATGCCGTTATGTTGAGCTGTAGGGGACTCAGGTTAACAATTTCTGACATTGCCAGTGAAGTGGAAGACCCAATACTATTATGTACTACTGGACTCTTTTGGAATATTTCGCTGAGCTCACACACTTCTAATATTCAAATGACGGAACTAAACAAAAAAGGGGATACAGATGAATGTTCATTTTGTATTTGTGTATTCAAAATGGTTAGGATAGATATATAGTTACATTCTCTTAATGAATAGAGGGATTTATTCTAATATTGTTTGTAAATAGGATATCATGTCTGCATCTTGTAGAGGAAATAACCACTAGGAAGAGAGTATGCAATTTGTTAATTATTGAAATTGTCCTATCAATTTGATTTGAAATTGTCTCATTGTTATTTATTTCTTAATAAAATTATGGAGGGGGCTGGGGAGATGGCTCAGTGGAATAAGTGCTTCCCTGGTGAGCACAAGGGCCTGAGTTCAATCCCTGGTCTCACCAAAAGAAAAAAAAAATTATGGAGAAAAAACTAAAAAAAACAAATGAACCTTCATTTATATCCCCCTTTTTTGTTTACTTTTGTCAGAAATTAAGCCCTTAGTAAGTATCTGTTTAATGACTGAATGGGATGACTGTCCTACACCTAAACCATGACGTGCTTACCATTCTCCTCTACCATGATCTCAACAAGATGTTGAGCTTCTTCCTGGATGCGCTCCTCTAAGCTCTTCTTTCCTAAGCCAAAGTTCCTTAACGTGGTTAGAGCGAACCTTCGTTGTTCCTTCCATATTTGGCCGCTGGACATGATCAGTCCTAGGGAAATGACAGCCAACATTATGACATCCTGATACAACCTGGAGAATACTTGTCAATTGTATGGACCTGTGCATCAGATAAAAAGGAGAAGGTACATGAACACCCTTGAAATTTATTCAGAGACATACTTCCACAGCAATACGTGTAATTCTAAGGTTTACTGCCTAATAGTTATTAGCTACTGGCAGTTTAGTACTTTTATGTATTTTGTAATTTGGCGCTCAGAGAAACGACACAGCATAGTTTTAAGTACCACCACTTCCAACCGATTTTACTTAGGAGAAATCTAAGGAACTAAGAATAAAGGACAAAGTGCACATTGCTTGGTAATGCAGTTTGTAAGCACATGTTCAAGTACTAGTCTCTGTATCTGAAACCCATGCTTTGATTAGAAGTCAGATAAGCTCAGTGAAGAATTAGTGTTAAATTAAAGATCTGTAGTGCAGACATGGCAAAACCAAAGCACACAGGCATAAGAAGGCACAAAACGGCTTTACAGGAGAGATCATATCTGATCTGGGTCTTAAACAATGAGGAATGATCCAAAAGTGTCAGGAATGAATCTCCTACCAGAAAGAAGAGCACCAAGTCCAGAACATCTTATTGTGTTCCATAAACCATTTGTTTTATAACACAGGCAGCACTAAGCTCTGTTTATATGTCTTTATTTTTAGAGTACTCTTCACCTTCTTTGTGTTTTGACCTTCACCATCACATTAAAATGGCCCTCTTCACTCTGAAACCCGTGAAATCTCCAACCTCATCTCATGTGGTCTTTCCTTAGCTCTACACACTTCCTGATATTTTTTTTTTGTCTTTTTGAGACAGGTTGGACTTAAACTTACTTTGTAGCTCAGGCTAGCCTTAAACTCACAGCAATCCTTCTGCCTCAGCCTCCTTAGTGCTGAGATTATAGTTCTGAGCCACCATTCAGGGCCTCACACTTCTTGTTTGAATGACTCTTTTCCCAGTAGAGATCAGGGTAGCACACATACATCCATTTCCCTGAATCTCTGTAAGCAAATTCTCACACCATTTTGTGGTTTATTTTCTTCTATGAAATCTTCAAGAGAGCTTCCTGCTACCCTGCGCCCGTGGGCCCAGACCCAGCCCAGGCGCAGCGTGGGTCGGACCCTCTCCCACCCCCTTGGGATGCCCTACACCACTCCGCAGCACCTCCTACACCCCGCCCGCCGAGTAGGAATTTCTGCTGCGTTCTGGGAATCCCCAGGCCCAGTCTTAGCCCAGGTCTGGTGAGTGTGTGGGAGAACTTCCTGCTACCCTGCACTGGTGGGACCAGTCCCAGCCCAGGCACAGCATAGGCCAGACCTTCTCCCACCCCCTTGAGATTCCTTACACCACTCCGCAGCACCTCCCTCACCCCGCCCACAGAGTAGGAATTTCTGCTGCATTCCAGGAACCCCCAGACCCAGTCCTAGCCCAGGTCCAGTGAATGTGTGGGAGAGCTCCCTGCTATGCTGCACCCGCCCACAGGACCTGTCCAGGCCCAGGTGCAGTGTGGCCCAGATCCTCTCCCACCCCCTTGGGACATCCTCCACCACTACGCAGCACCTCCCACACCCGGCCCACCGAGTAGGAATGTCAGCCACATTCCGGGAACCCCCAGACCCAGTCCTAGCCCAGACCAACTGAGTGTGAGGGAGAGCTTCCTCTCCCCACTACTCCACCTTGCCAACCTCCAGGCACAGCTCAGGCCTGGCATACATGCCTGGGGTGTAACCCTGCAGCTGCAATCCCTACAGAGAGTGTAGAGGATAGATCCACCCAGCTAGTCCAGGAGCAAAACATCTTGCCCCAGGGGCACAGCAGGTTCACCCTCAAGGACAGCAGCGGAAAGGAGCAGAGTACAGCAGCTAGACCCAAGTCAGGCGCAGCTGGATAAGTCTAAACTTTGTAGAGCTGCACGTGAACATCAGTACGTGTGAAGGTTATAACTACAACAAAGATCTGCAACAAAGGTCAGAAGACAGTGCTACACAAAATGACGAGAAGGAACAAAATGC